CTAGACGTGGAGCTAGAAGCCGTAGGACGTGGTAAACCGGGGTTCCCGGGTGCGGATGCACCGCGGCTTACGTCTGAACCTACCCAAGAAGAACACTATCACAAGGACACCTACCTTGCGGAGCTGAATGACATTATTTCGGAGCTAAGTGCTCGTTTTAGTAGTGATACTCTCAGTCTTTTGGAATTAAGTGGAGGTTTGAGCCCGGCAAACAATTTTGAAATGTGGGATAGAGACAAAATTGTGAAACTTGCAGAGAGTTACTACTGTGATGATTTTCCGGATATTATCACTCTAGGAGAGGAAGTGGATAGACTTACCGCTATCTCAAAATCTGGCAAGAGATTCAAGGATTTGAAGACAACAGAGGATCTTTGTCCAACTATATACTCGACAGACAACCAAGCGTTTTTCCCAAGCTTACATCGACTTGTACAATTAATCTGCGTTCTTCCGGTATCTACCGCAAGTGCTGAGAGATCGTTGCTTACCATGAAAAGAGTCAAGACGACCGATCAACGATGGGCGATTCTTGGATGTCAAATTTGATGCTTCTGGCTATAGAACGCGATCTTACAAACAGTATTGACAAGGACGAGGTAATTGACGCATTCAACGCATTAACAACCAGACGCATTCCAATGTAGCATGGCTATATTTCTGACGTTGTTTCATTTTTTTTTAAATTAATTTGTGTACTTTGTTTTTAAAATTCACACTGATATAATAATGAAAAGATTGCCCCCTTTAGTCTAACGCCCCTGTGTCACAGTATCGTTCGATGCTCTCACGAATCCCACCGAGCGATACATTGAGCTCGTTGGACGCACCGATCTCCTCATACTGAGTGATCTTGTCGAGGAGTACCCTTCCGAAGTGGCGATCTTGCGATGTTGATTGAAGTGAAAAGGCAGTTTAAACCAAGCTCCGTCTTCCAGGCGTTGTCAGAGCTGTTCGCTCTGGATCTTCTGGTCAAAGACCCAGTGATATCACTGCTTACTGGCTTAGCCGACAATTGGCAGTTCTTCTGGATATCCGAGGGCGCAATCCTCAAAGCGATCATCAAGGAACCAGGCGAAGCTTTTCAAGTAACCAGGACGCTACTGGCGCAATCATTGCCTGCTGGTACCGAGATTACTTAAGTATCCTGCGATCTTCGACTAGCAATATCTTGTCGCTGAGCTTCCATTGCGGCTTCCAGGCTCCAGAATACTGAAGTAAGCCATCTCTCCAGGAAAAAGCTCAAACAAGATTCACCAATGTTGACCCCAAAGTCTTCGGAGCCACGACATGTTAATCATCTTATGACAGCATCGAATAGATCTTCTCTGCAATTTTTTTCACTGCTTCTCGCGTAGGAATGTCATGCTCCATATCCATCGTTGCATCATCTCGCTCGACTCTATCATTCAGACATCTCGAGAAGTACCATTCCTTGAAATTCGTGACAATGCTGAAAAGGTCCGTCAATCCTTCGAGATCCGCGAGTACTTCGCTCCCTACATAAGCCTGCGCGAGGCCCTGCTGAAAATCGTCTCGTTTCGCCTTGACGATGCAAACACGTTTACTGCCGCGTTCAATCACAAATTCAAACGCCCCGTCTCCATGTACACGTTTCCCAGTTACTGTTTCTTCTGCGAGAATCCGGACTTCTCCATCAAAAAGTCCACAAACGCAGACAAGTACTGGAACAATGAAGTAAAGCCTTTTCGCTTCTTTCCCATTCACGATTTCTCCAAACGCTTTGGTCAGGAGAAGGAGGTATTCATAAAGCACATCAATTTTTTCGTTTTCGATGACCTTCCGTGGCTGTTCATAGCGACGCGCTCTCATTACTCTGTCGACATCGCTGAACGACACGTAGGAGTATCCTGTCGACGACTCACCAGCAGCATTGACTTTCGCTCTTTGGTTCCGATCGAGTATTTTGTTCAGTTCTTCCCACCTCTTCTTGCGAGCGGGGTGGGGTTCGTGAATAGCAGTGGCAGCGATTGGTTAGGCGTTGTCCAGGAACCACCACCAGCACGTGAACTACGTCCTCTCTACGAAACGTCAGCCCGAAAGGGTCGGCTTGC